CCCCCAGACCCCACAGCAGCCCCATGGGTCCCATTTACCCCCTCCAGCTCCTCAAGACCCATCCAGTGCCCCCCTGAGCCCCACTTACCCCCAGCCCCGTGGGGACACGGATGCCCATTCCCACAGCTCAAGCAATGAGCCGTGACCATGCACAGGGTGGGTACCGGGGAGCAAGGGGGAGAAGAAAGATGCTGCTGCCCTAAGAAGCGTAGGAAAGGCTTCCAGGAGCAAAGAGCTGGGAGATGGAGCAAGCAGAGGACCCCAGAGCCATCCCTAGCATGAAAAGCTCAGAAGAAAGCAGGAGCGAGGGGTCTCAGCCTCACCCAGCTCTCAGACGCAGGCTTCAGTCCTTAATTGCAATTAAATGCATTTTCAGAGACAGCTGTGGGTTGTGACAGGCGATTTTGGTATCGCTCTGGTCCCTTTTCAGCCTTGTTTAAGTTCTCAGCCTCAACAACTTCCTGCAGCGATGAATTCTGCAGTTTAATTAAACATTGCGAGAAAAAGTACTTCCTCTTATCAGGTTTGAATTTCCTTCCTTCCCAGCGTGGGAAGCGGGACGGTCTCTGCATCCCGATTTTACTGCCTTTCGAGGGGAATGAGGTGAAACTGCTGGGTGAGACCCGAGACCTGGCAGCTGGGGCACCAAAAGCTTTGGCCGATGGTTTGTTCCAACTTGTCAGGAGCTCGTCTGGGTTCTCTGCTTTCAAGGTGGATGCATCAAAGCGAGACGGTGGTAAACGCCTGCTGACTTTGGGCTGGTATCTGAGATCTTCGGCAATCTTGGTTTGGCTGGGGCAGCTCCTCTAATTCTTGTGGAGTGCCTTGAGGAATTACAAACGGCTCAAAGGGAAACAACCTGATATAAAAAAAAAAAAATCCTGTGGTCCAAACAAATATGCGTTTCCCTGTTGCTATTAATATCTCAGACCTTGATCTTCCTCCAAATTCTCGCGCATGCATTTAACAGCTTGCAAATGAGCGATCCCTTTGATTCTGCAGTGGGAATGTTTGCTGGGACTATGAGTTATTAAAGGTGAAAGATGCTTTCAAATGCAACACGCTGGCCATGTTTTCCAACATGCTTTATTGCCTTCCTGGCGTTTCTCTCAACCTGGGAATGAAAAATTCATTTCCAAGTTTGGAGGGGAGGTTTGGAGTGGAGTAACACTTGTTTTATGCAACACCTTTGGGCACAAACTCCATCCTTTTTTCTAGACCTGATTTCTAGTGGAAGAAGATAGACATTTCTTTCTGCCTGCTGTTCTGGGAAGCCTTTTCTTTTGCAGATCTCTCTTTTGGGCCCTGTTCAAGCTCCCTGGTCTTTCTTTCCAGCACAAATATTGCAGAGTTTGTAGGTATTGCTGCATTTGCTGCCATCTAATGGGAGAGTTTAGCCTCGGCGACCTCAACTCATTCTTTTGCAAGCAACTAAAAACGTTTTTCTGGGCAATCCTGCTACCACTCGGCAAAGCAGGATCTTCCATGCATAATCCCAGCAAATTTAGGCAAAGAGAAAAGCTGATCTGATGGATGGCTTCGGCATACATGCAGCTGGGCAGCTCTGCAGAGGGGTCAAGCTGCCAGGAACCATTGCAGACCCAGTAAAAAGAGCCTTTTGGGGTTAATCAGGCTGAAACGGTGCTTCCTCTGATCATGGACCAGACTTGCAAAGTGTGCTTGGATTTATATTATTTTAAGATAAAACAGCAAAGCAGAAACAGGGAAGATGGGCCCAAACAACAACAAAAAAGCCATTGTTAGATACCCCGAATACCCAGTCCAGGCTCTGAACCGAGGCACATAAACTCTTCCTGAGGAGCTGCAGTCTTCAGGCTGCTCCCACTGCTCCATCAGTAAAGATATTTTATGACGAAATATGGTAAAGAAGGATTGACATGGAATGGGTGTATAAATATAGTGCATTAAGAAAAGAAAGTCTTTTAAAGATTAGTGCCAAGGGAGGATGGGCTGTGGCAGGGGGAAGCCAGTGCAGGGATGGGGGCTTCAGTGGTACGGAGGTGTTGGAGCACGGAGATGGGGCGTGCAGAGGAGAGAACTCATCTCTCAAAGACTCGGAAATTCCTGCATCATTGCAAAGTTGTATCGGACCTGGTGAAGCTCACACCCCTGATTTTTCTGAGCCTGAGCTTGGTCTCTGTGCATCTCCATCGCCAAATCAACATCATCTCCACTGAGCGCTTTTGGGTATCACACAGAGCCGGCCCCATTTAAAGGGGTAATTCTGTGAGCAGCAGAATCAGAAAGTGTGCTCGCGCCTGGTGCTGTGCGTTGCAGGTCTCTCCCATGGAGATTTGTCATTGTCTGATAAAGACTAAACTTAAACTGCAATTTTTCCATCAATGGGGATGTTAATTAGTCTCAGTTACTCAGAGCTTTATTCAGACAGCAGTCTCAGAGCTTTGCAGCTGCTGCCCATCGGGGACTGCTGAAAACAGCCCGTGGACTCCAAAGCTGCTTGGAGCCGGGAAAGAGAAAACAAGCACATACACATAGGCATCAGGAGCTCTTAAGCCTTGTTTCCTTGGAAAGCTCAGCTATAACAGAGCTAGAAACATGCAGAATGATATCCTTTTTAATTTTTTTTAAATATATAGTGTTTTTAGAAAACCAACTCTTGTTGTCACTATATTTTTGTAAGCAGGATATGCTTTGCCACAGTATACGTATAAATAATAATGGCAACAAAAAGAAAACCTGTCTGAGCGGAATTATTTCCCCAAAATCTGCATGTAAGCACAGTCTTTAAATACATCCGTTGAACTGCTGGGGGATGAGGCAACACATGTAATATATAAAAATACTAAAATAGAACACTTGTATTCTTATTTATTTAGTCTATCTTCCTCTGCAAAAATATAGTTCTCTGCATCAAGCTATAAAAAGAAAAAAAAACCTTGACGTTGTGCCATGCGCTTGTTTAGATTTTACACGCTGGGTTTTAAAACTGGTTCAGTACTTTGTAAAGAAGCCGTCTCAGTTGCAGAAGGGCAAGGTGCAGCAGCTTGCTCTTCCCTGCCCACCCGGAGATTTGCTGCAATAGTGCAAAAATCTGCTCTGGGGGCCATGCAATGAAAAGAGCTCTTGCAAGCATTTATCTGATCATGTATCCCACCACCCCAGTGCTCTTTCTGTTATCCTGGCCGTGCTCTTGAGGCTTTTGAATTTATTTTGAGCAAAGTTTTTAGTAGTTTTCTGTCAAGACCCATTAATGCTCACAGGCACGATAAACCAGGACAGAGAAAAACTAGCTTTACCTTGCCTAATTGGAGAGGCTCACAAAGTGCATTTAGGATATATTGCATATTTCCTTGTTCCAGATCAAATCCGATCAGATTGCAAAGCCAGAGCAAAAGTCACCACTGCACAGGAGCGCCGACAGCCCTAAATCCCCTTGTGTTACACATGGGCCTTCGGGTGACTCCTGGTATTAATTTCTTTTATCCCAAGACTTGGTTTTGCTCCCTGCTGCTTCCAGTATCATTCCAGCATCTCGGATCCAGCTGGGTTCCTTTTCTGCCTCTTCCCTTAGCCTTCTTTTCTGTCTCTAAAAGAAAGTGGTAAAGTTTCCCAGCGAGTGTTTGGGAGGGCTCGTGTGCTCTGGGATAGCGGCAGGAGAAGAGCAGGGAAGGGGCTGGGTGACAGCAGGCTCCTCCGCAGCGGCTTTTGCTCTCAGCATCCGAGGGAGATCAGGCAAGGCAGACACACAGGGAGCAGAGGTGGTGCCTGAGGGCTATTTTTATGCTTTTCTGGCTGTCGCTGCAGTTTCAGGTCACAACAGGGGGTCTGTCCATCACCAGCAGCAGCCCTTTTTCTTCTGAGGTGGCTTTGGTACCTCTTCTGCCTTATTTTTCATTTCCTCTTCACGAACTTTGAGCAACCTGGGAGAAAATGAAGCAAATGAGCTGGGTATTTCCCCCATATTTTGTATTGCTGTGCTATTTGTCTTGACAAGCATCAGTAAAGGAGGCTCGGCACGGCTGAAAGGAGTTAGGAGCCTTTCAGCTTGGTGCGACTTGAGAACCACGGACTCTGCTAAAAATGCCAACCTAAATCAAATCACAGACAGAACTGATTTCAGTCAACCCAGGGAGAGATCAGCAGCATCCCGAGAAGGGCTTTATTAATCTCCTTACAATGCTAGATATTCAGGAGGCATCTTGCAGCACTTCCCTCCGGCTCATCCCAGCTGGGCACACACTGCTCTCAGTTTTCCCTGACATTTGGGCACATGGAGTCTCCGGTGACAGTAACACACCAGCATTTGGAGTTAAAAAAGCAAGGAGGGAGCCCATTAAATTCAGGACAGATGGTAAAATCCAAGCACATGCCTCACCTGATTAAGCTGACCATAGACTCGGAGACATTGTGGCCTGAAGCAGCACTGCATTCGTAAAACATGAGCTGATGCTCCTGGAAGACATAGAGCCGGAATAGAAATGTAATATTCTTGCAATGGAATAGCTTAATATGGGAGTAAATAGCCAAGGGATAGTCACAGTCAAGGGGAAACAGAAGGACTCAAGAAAACAAATAACTCAATAACTTATTTACTGGAAGGTGAGGGTGAAATCCAGCTTTTCTGGTAGCTGCGACACCAACATTTAGTATCAAGGAGAAGGCTGACACTGCAAACAGAGCGAGATGCGATGCTTTCTGGTTAGTGGAGCAAATACGGAGAGGTAACTAGATGTATCTGGGTCTTCTGTGCCTGCCAGTGACTGGTTGGGGCGGGGGAGCATTTAAGCATTTAACCCCTTGTCCTGCTGTCTCCGTTTGTAAAACTGGCCAATGGTTACTGGTCCAAATCCCATAAACTTTGAAATTAAGTCAGTAAAGGTGAGATTCTTCTCACCTGATTTTTATTAGGCATCTACATTTGAAAAAGATTAATTGTACTTTAAGCTTTTCAGTATCTTTAAAACAGGATAGGGCTTGGTGGTTTTACTGTTTATATTTTGCTGGGAAGATACGTGACACTTCACAGAAAAGATAAGCAGAGCTGAAAATGTTTTAATTTATAGATCCAGTTCCATAAACTGGGGTGGTGCTGAGTCAAAACTAAAACAGCAAGGGGAAAGCAAGGAAGGGAAGGGTGAAAGATGGGTTCAGAGATCACTTTGCCATGCACTGATGCACAAAAGGTAAGTTAAGGGCTTTCACCTTTCTCCAGGTCCTCAGGCTGGTGGCACCCATCCTTAGCTGTCCTTGCCTAACTCGAGAGGACAGCATGCTTCAGCAGGGCTGTGCACCTACCTTGGCCAAGCGTTCCCCCTCCTTCGTAGGGACCTGTCTCGCTGCAGCGCAGTCAGTTTTGTTCCCAAGAAGCAGAACAGCGACTCCGTCTTCTGCTCCTTCCTGAGCAAGTAAAGAGGGGAGGATCAGGAGCGCATCTGACTCTCCCTTGAATCACAGCCGGCCACACTGTCTCGACGCATCCTGGAGCACCGTGAAGGATGCCCACGGATTTGGGCCGATAACAAAACCTTAAATTCCTAAATGATTTTAACAGCACTTAAGAAAAGGATTTTTTTCCCTTAAATCATCTGTCCTGGTTTATTAACAGGGCAGAGCACTGGAGAAGCTACCCTTGTAGTGAACTCACTTTGTGTTCGACTTCAGGAACCCTCCAGAAGATGCTCTGGAGGAGATTTACAGGCACTGAGCAAGGCGACATCCTAGTTTGTTCCAGCATTTTTAAACGCTGACTTTGTACTTGACTGGAAATCTCTAACAAGAAGTTTTTAATAAGACATGAGTTGCCTCCCATTTCCCAGGACTCAAAGTGGATTTAAACGTGTTATCAAAATCACTTTCAACATTTTCCATTCCTCTGCATCGGTTTTTAATTTTTAAAAAGTTGATCATTATCGTAATGATACTATCAACAAATTACCCCAGGAAACACTGCCAAAATGTGAAAATGGTCAGTATCTGAATTTAAATCCTCCAAGAAAAACTATTTTCTAACCAAAGCAAAGCAGAATGCCCTTCACAAAGGGCTTGGTCACCCCCAGATGTCCATCCCTAACCGGAGGCAGAGGTCAGGTGGGGAAAGGCAGATCACGGAGTCACCGCCAGTTCCAAGACCTCGGGGACAGAGCAAGGTTTTTCTGCTTCACCCACCTGGATGCAGCTCAGCCAGTACCGCACGTCGGAGAAGGAGTACTCCGACGTGATATCGTACATCAGCACGACCCCGTCTGCCTTCCGGAAGAACTGCTTGGTGACGCTGTGGTACCTGTGTATGTTTTAAATGGTCACTGATAAGGTCTAAGGAGGTTTTGCCTAGGACAATCTGAAATCCCAGCGGGAAAGCTGGAAATGCATGTCTACAAAAAAGGCAAAACCCAGATTTTGCTCCTATCCTGATCACAGAGGTTGTACAAACAGCCTGAGTGCTTATTTTAATCTTAATGACTTCCTTTATTATTCTTTATCAGATCACACACTGTACAGAGTCCCTTCTTAAACAACCCCTCCTTTGCTTAGCAAAGCCACGAACGTTCATTTCCACTAATCTACCAGAAAAAAAAAAAAAAAAAGGAAAAAAACCAGTTTCCCCCCTTTAACAAACAACACAAGCCCAAAAAAAAACCTCCTTTGCTTAGCAAAGCCCAAAAACTTCATTTCCCCAAAACCCCCAAAAAAAAAAAAAAAAAAAGGAAAATCACCAGTTGCTCTCCTTAAGCAGACAGCACAGCACCTTACCTTTCCTGACCAGCTGAGTCCCACAGGCGGAGAGCAAAGCGCTTGTTGTCCACGACAAAGTGTTTGACCCAATAATCCAGTCCTAGGAGACACAAAAAGGGATATTTTGATATTGTAGAGTTCATCCCTGCAACAGAGGATGGATGGAGAAGGCACATGGTGCAGGTGTGGTCTGAGGCTACAGCTCAGGGGGGCTGGTCCCAAGTGAACCTCCAGCTTTTAGCTCTTTAATGGCTGGATTTTGGGAAGGTCTCCAATTTCATCATGAATAAAACCAGGTTGGTTAAGAGAGGAGAAGAGAGCTGAAAGGCAAAGCAGAAAGAAAAGCACCAGGGCCATTGGTATTGGTGCCCTAAAGAGGGCAAGGAAAACCAGCACTGCCTGCTCATGAGCATCCCAAGCGTGTGAAGTTGGTGGTCCTATTTGGTCCTTGGTGACAGGCTGCATAGCATGCTTGGCGTGAGCTGTAACATGCACATAGTGATCACCAGCAGCTTGTGCAGTGGAGGAAAAGGAACTGTGAAGGTCACCCAAGTGGGTGCAGAGCTGTGCTGGAGAGGGGCTGGAGACCTACCTACTGTGGCGGTGAGGTGCGGGTTGAAGGTGTTGGCATGCAACCGGTACAGGAATGATGTTTTGCCCACGTGGGAGTCCCCAATGAACAGCACATTGTAGAGGTGGTCTGGGTCTGGGGAAGCTTCAGGAGAACCTGTTGGAGCAGCTCCTGCCCCATCTGCAGCCATGGCCCCTGCCTTTCCTGGGCTGGGCTTGCCATCCTGGCTCATTTTCCACCCAATCTCTTGCTTCTTCTCCTGTTGACCAACACTGAGGTCTTCACTCTGTTCTCCCAAGAGCTGCCTTTGAGGCTGCGTGCTGCTGTTGGCTGCATCCCCCAGTGAGCCATCTCCGAGGACCATCCCCAACTGATCATTCCCAACATCTTCCTCCTGTTGGACCCTTGTGCAAAGGGTTGACACTGGTGGCATCTCCTGTTTTGGAGGCTTGGCAGGTCCGGCAGCTACCTGCTCTGTTTCCATCACATGCGGCGGCTTCTCCTCTGGCTGCTGGGAAGCAGTGCGAAGCATCATCTTATCTGCCTGTGCCGAGACCTGCTCCCGCAGCTCGCTTTGGGCTGCCTGTCCCGAAGCGCCTAGCTGCTGCACATCTGGAACGAGAACATCCTCCCGCATCAGCATTTCCAGCTTTAGTGTGCTGATTTGTAATGTCACCTCGGAGACCAGGGGGGCCAGCGCAGATGCAGCGTCATCATGGCCCTGCTTTATCCCTAGACTCTGAGTTTCAACTAAAATCCTCGCCCCTGCCTCCAGCCTCTCTCCCTGCACCACTTCCAGACCTTGAGCTCCATCCAAAGGCGTCTCCTCTGCATCAGCCCGCTCTCCCTGCGGTATTTCCAGTGTCTGGGTATCCTCCAGGACCTGCCCATCTGGACCAGTGAGTGCTCCCAGCACTGCTTCCAGACCAGGACCCTTGACAGCAGTGGCACACTCAGGATGTAAAGCAGTCTCAGTTGGGGGGTACACATGTGCCCCAGCAGCCTCCTCCCACATGTCTGCAGCGTGAGCCGCACACAGACCTGCCTCCAAACCAGGAGTCTGGCTCTGCTCCCCTTCCCGCACCCCAGCTGCGCCCAGGGGTGCCAGATCTGCCTCTGTGCTCCCTCCCGAGGTTGATTTGAGCTCCTCCACTTCTGTAAGTGGCTGCACATTTGCATCAGTGCTCTGGTCCTCCAGCATGCCCAGGATTACAGCCTCCTCAGGGGGCTGCACACCTTCAGGAGCCCCCTCTCCCTGCCCGATGGCCACCCCCTGCGGGTGAAGCACAGGCTCGTGTGGCAGCCCACGCTCACCCTGCTCTTGTGCCCCATCCTCAGCCTCCTCCACGAGCTGCACGGCTGCACGGTCCCCCCAGCCCTGCTGGGTTTCTGGGCTGGCAACCCCATGCAGCTGCGCGTCTGCCTGGGTGTCCTCTGCCTCCATTTCCACTAACTCTGGTTTATTGACCTGATCCAGGGGCTGCACATCCAGAGCCGTGGTCCCTCCCTGCTCTGTATCCAGGGAGGTGACCTTACTCAGGGGCTGCAGATCTGCCTCTGTGCTCCCAACTGGGGTCAGTTTGAGCTCATTCACCTCTGCAAGCAGCTGCACATTTGCATCAGTGCTCTGGTCCTCCAGCGTGCCCAGGATTGCAGCCTCCTGCCACAGCTGCATGCCCGCACCAGCCTCCTCTCCCTGCCCGACTCCTGCTCCCTGCGGATCAAGCACAGGCTCGTGTGGCAGCCCACGCTCACCCTGCTCTTGTGCCCCATCATCAGCCTCCTCCATGAGATGTACGGCTGCTCCACCCTCCCCTCCCTGGGGGATTTCTGGGCTGGCACCCCCCCACAGCTGTGGGTCTGCCTGGGAGTCCTCTGACTGTGCCAGTTCCAGGGCCCAAGCCTTAACTGGGAACAGCCCATCCTCACTGATTCCCTCTCCCTGTACCAGCTCCAGCTCCCCCTCTTCCTCCCGGTTCTGTACATCTCCATCCACCTCCGCTCCTGGCCTCTGCTCCCCAAACAGCACCGTGGGCAGAGGAGCGGGGTCCCCCCTGCCAGCACTGTGTTCATCGGCCTCGGCTCCAGGCTGCTCCTCTGCACCAGCCCCCTCTCCCTGCCCGAATCCTGCCCCGTGCAGAACAGGCTCACGTGGCAGCTCGTGCTTGCCCTGCCCTCGTCCCCCATCCGCAGCCTCCTCCCTGAGCTGCATGGCTGCATGGTCCTCCCCTCCTTGGGGGGCTTCTGGACTGGGATCCCCAAGCAGCTGCCTGTCTGCCTGAGATTCCTCTGCTTTCACCAGTCCCAGTGCCTGAGCTTTAACTGGGAACAGCCCACCCAGGTCTGGGCTCCCTGCAGGTGTTTCTGCTGGGAAAGGACCCTCACCATGCACCGCAGCAGCACCCATTTCCTCCCCCAGCCCTAACTCTGGTTTATCATCCTCCTCCAGTGGTTGCACACCTGGAGCCACGCTCCATCCCTGCTCTGTCCCCGGGGAGCCAGCCTCACTCAGGGGCTGCAGAGCTGCCTCCGTGCTCGCTTTGAGCTCCTCCACCTCTACGAGCAGCTGCACGTTGGCATTGCTGCTCTGGGCCTCCAGCGGTTGCACATCTGTCCCCACTCCACCTTCCTGCGTGTCAGTTGGTGGCAGCAGCACCTCTGCTCCTGTGCTCCCTCCCCACGCTGCATCTCCCCTCGCAGACTCACCCTGCGGCCACGGCTCTGCCTCCCTGGGCTGCGTTACCTCCACCTCCCCTTCCTCGGCCCCAGCTCTGCTGCTCCCTCCATGCTGAGCTGGGGCTGGCGGCACATCGGCGTCTAAGGTCTCTCCCCAGGGCTGTGCCTCTGCACCGACGCGCTCTTCCTCCAGCATCCCGAGGTCGGGAGCCACTGTCACCTCGGGGAGGACACTATCCCCCCGGGCTGCTCCCATCCGTGCCTCACCCCAGGATGGTGGCTCTGGCTCCAGGCGCTCTCCAGGCTTTATTTCAAGTTTCTCAGAGAGCCCCGATGACGGGTCAGCCTCTTCCCCCAGCCCCGTTCCTGGGGGCTGCGCACGCTCTTCTGGAGCCACAGCTGGGCCAAGCTGCCATCCCGCTGCTAGACCTGCCTCCCCAGCCTCAGGTGGCCCCAGACCTGCCTCCAGATTTTCTCCCTGGTTTAATGCCACTTCCTCAGCTTCTCCCAGGAGCTGTGCCTTTTCCCAATCTGTTTTTTCCTGCATCCATCCTTCTCCCTCCACCTCCATGAGCGCCTGCTCTCTTGCCTCCATGCTCTCTCCCAGTGCTCCTTGCGGATGCTCAGCTGCCTTTAGCATCAGCTCCTTCACACCAGCGCCCTTTCCTTGCAGGAATAACATCCTCCACGCCTCCTCTGGGCTCTCTCCCTGCTCTGCCCCCAGGTCCTGAGCCCTGTGGTGCCCGGCTCCCATGGACGCACCAGCCTGTGTCACGTCTGGAGCATGAAGGTGAGCTGTGGCTGGTCCCTCTTTCAGGTCTCCTTCGAACAGCTCATAACTGACGTGGCCGGGGAGGGTCTCTTGCAGGACCTTGGGGGTTGTGCCATGGGCTGTGGCTGCCTCCGGCCCCGTTTGGGGCTCAGCATCGTCCCGGGGGTGATGGGCAGCATCTGCCGGCACAGAGGGTGCACCCAGTGCCTGTGGCTTCAGCTGTTTGCTCAGAGCTGCGATTGCATCATTCATCTCTCTTAGCAAAGAGCTTTGGTCAGAAAATCGTTCCTCTTTCAGAAATTCTGGGAAGGGGTCCTCTTCCATGGAGCTTGCTCTCAGTGGGGCTCCCAAAACGCTTATTTCTGTGGGCAGCACTTCCCAAACCCTGGAAAGGGCAGAAAATGGGGGAGAGTCAGCCCAGCCCCTGCGTCGGGCTGCAGCTCCCTCCCATCCACCTGGGCTGGTACCGGCGGGTCCCTCCTCCATCACCTCACCCCATCCCTCTCCAAACCCGATTGTATTTACCCTCCAGTTGTACTGGAGGTTCACACAGGCAGTGATGGGGACAGGGGAAAGGGGGATGCACACCCAGGGAGCCAGACCCGGGGCCGCATCCTGCCTGGCAAGCGAGCGAGTGCTTCCCAGGCTCTGTGCTCACATTACCAGAGGTGAAAACGCAACTCGTGACCCGATACATCCAGTGCCCGAGACAAGGGAGTGATGCAGAGCGATGAGCTGGAGTAAGAGATCTGATCTCCAGGATGAGAGATGAGTAGGTGGGAAAGGAGCATTAAAAGGACTAAATTTCATATTTTGCCTGGAGAGGGTGGAGGACCTGGGGGCTCGGCACCGGCTCGCAGATGTCGAGGGCACGAGCTGAAGCAGCAGCTGTTGCCCAGGACCCCTTACACGTGGTGGGTGCTCTTGCGTTTGGGCTCGGTGCTCTGGGACCCCAGCCTGATCTGCATCTCGGATCTCTTCTCGCTCTTCTCTGGACTCATCTGCAGTAAACAGGGATGGGGAGAAAAGAGAGAAAAGCGCTTGGCAAGGAAGCATATCCACGTGAAACGATGCTGAGCTCTCTGGCAGGTATCCAGACATACCCACCCGAAACCTTGCGGGTATCAGAACGAACACACTGCTACCCCCTCCCTTCCCAAGCATCCGCAGGACACCATGCCGACTCAGTCTGAGAAAACTTTTAGGGGAGGCACTGCCTCTGCTGCAGAAGCACCCTGTGCTCTTGGGCTCCCCGGCAGTCCCAAACCAAACAGCGCGAGTCCCTGGAGCACAGACACCCCATGCCATCCCCGCGTACCCAGCTGAAGTACCTGTGGGGACAGCGGCATCTCGTCAGGCATCTCTGCTACCGCTCTGTCCCTGCAAACACAGAGCATGGGTCAAAACGGGCTGCAGCAGGACAGCAAACCGCACAATCCTTGGATCAGTCCTGGTTGGGTCCTTCTGGGTGAAGGATGTCCCCATCTCTGCTGGCACTACCCTACAGGGACACATTCAGTGCACGGTGCTGATAGTCCTGGCTTTTTTTCTGATGCTTTTCACACCAAACCACGATTAATCCACACTGTGGAGACCACTGAAGCACCATGATGGCCGAGACCCATCAAACTCATTCCCCCTCCACTGCACCTCCCAGGATGAAACCACGTAGGTGCAGAGGGAGATGCCGGGCATCAGCTACTCACCCAGGCTCCTCTGCATGCTCCCGCGCCACCGCGGCCCTCGCAGTCCGCAGGCGCCCATGGGTCTGCTGGAGCTGCTGGTGGAGATGCTGCAGGCGGTCCTCCAGCACCTGGTTACTCTCCTCCAGCTGCTGGTTTTCGGTGCTGGTGGCTTGCTGTGTACTGCGGAGGCTGCGGCACCGCATCTCCAGCTGCGGGACAGCAACCAGGACAATCACACCCCACCAGGACCCCTATGAGACTCATGCCAAAGAGTGATGGATAACCATCTCCTCTAGACCTGGGGCTGAATTTTTCCCCCCCGAGGGTGGAGAGTGGGAAACAACTCAGGTGCTCTGGGGACAGAGGGGAGCGTGGGTATGGGGGTGGCAAAGGAGAAGTGATGGAGGTCCTATGTGACAACCTGCATCAAGGGCTGGTGGGGACAGCCCGAGATCAGGTGTACAACACCGTGTTGTTGCTACAGGTACAGCCCAGAGACCCCATATGCACGATGGGGGACCAGGGGCTGGGGCCAGCTCACCTCCATCTGTGCTGTGACCAAGCGCTGCACCTCCCTCTCGCTGGCATCCAGTGCTTGCTGCAGCTCCATGCTGTGCTGGTGGCTCCGGGCCATGCTCTGGGATGGCAACAAGGACATTAGCACCCACTCACCCATCTGGGAGCTGTCACAAGGGTTTGGGGGTGCTGAGTCCCCTCCCAGGGTGGGTGGCAAGGGGAGAGGAGCAGCTGGTGACCCACCTCCTGCTCCAGCCGCTGCTGCTCCTGCTGGATCTGCTGCTCCAGGGCCTCGCAGAGCTGCTGCACCTCCTTGTCGTGCTCAGCCACACGCCTGCCAGGGACAGCAAGGCCGGGGGGGTGGTCAGACCCTGCTGCAGCGGGTGCAGGTCCCTGGGGCCCCACGTTGCCCATGGGACCTGCAGGCTGCAGCCGGGTTTGCCCGGAGGGGTTCACCCAGCAAGGACGTGTCCAGCAGTCTGAGTTTGGCACTTTCGCCATCCTGTGCGTGACTGTAGAGGGAGCCCGACCTCAAATGTCGGCTCCCAGTGAAACCTCTGCTCCAGCCATTGATGGAGATGCTGAAAGCACCCAGGTTTCTCCCTCCTTGGGCACGTCTCCACGGCTGGGGTGAGCAGGGGGCCCCATCCTTCCTGTCCCTCTCCACTGCCCTGGGGTGACTCACATGTTCAGGGTCACCTCCAAAGCTGTCTTCTTGCTTCTGGCTTCTTGGATGCGGTGCTTCATCTTGGCCAGAAAGTCCTCCAGGTTGCCCAGGAGCTGGGGTTCATCCTGCCGGAGCTTCACCCAGAGCTGCCAGATCTCCTGTCTGCAGGGAGAGGGGTGGTTTGCGGTGAGCATCCCCCCAGGACCCCCCAGAGCCGGGCCAGCTATGGGACCCTGGGTCATTTAGCTCACACCGTTCAGGATTCATGGTCCTGGGGGACAGATAAGCATTGGGGTGACCGTGATCCTGTGCCCTGCTCCTGCACTTGGGGCAAAGGCACCTCCAAGCCATTTCTTGGCTTGCTGCCTGCATGGGGACCAAATGAGGGGAATACCCTGCCCTGTGATACCCCAAGCCTTTCCCCCTGGCGCAGCTCTGCCCCATCCTGCAGGACACCCATGGGTGCTAAACAGGGCAGCTTACTCTTCAGAGACGTTGTCTGTGCCCAGCTGGTCCATGAAGGCAGCAAATTGTCTCTGCTCCTCACTGTCCACCCCCTCCAACGCTGGGCTGGGGAGGACCAAGCGGACCCTCCGGGATGCTGTTTTCCGCCGGCGGTGGTCCCTGGCAGCTTTTTGGGAGCTCAGGAACTGCCCTGCCAACAGATACCCCAAACCCTCAGCAAAGCCCAAACCCTGACACTTCCCACCCCGTGGCTTCGACAAGCTGCTTTGGCACAATAGGACCTCTCACCAGGCGAGCCATGGGCTGAGACCCAGGCACGGGGACACTTTTTGAGCCATCATATGCCACCCAGCAAGGGGAACGTTTCAGGTTCCCCCAGGAAAGCACCGGGGCTGTGTCCAGGAGCAGCCCAGCACTTACGGAGCCCAGCAGTGAACTCCTCGGTGCTTAACCGCCCGGTGCCGGCAGCATCCAGCCCATCGAATATGAGCTCCAGCTCCTCTTTGCTGCACGGGATATCTTCCTCCTGCAATTTCTAAGAACAAAGCAAATCAGGGGAAAAACCTACCCATCATCCAGTCTCCAGCCACTCCGGTGGCATTTGACCTGAGAATACATCCCCATCGCTTACCTGCATGTCCGAGCGGGTGACAAACCCCGCCTGGTCCTTGTCTCGCTCCCTGAAGAAGTCCTGCACCCTCTGCACTAAATCGGATGCCCCTGGCAGCTCCTCGCTGGGGCCGGGGGCTGCTGCCGGTGCCTCGCTGGAGCCCTCACGCAGCTGCTTGCGCCGGCTGGAGCCCATGCGCCGGCCCTTGGCCGCCCGGCGCTCGGCCATGGCTCCTGGCTTGGTCCCGTCAATGGTAAAATTGGCGGGTGCTGAGCCTTGGCCGGCTCCCTCCTTGCCGGAGACCTTTGCTGTGGCACGGTGAGAGATGGCAGAGCAGGACTGAGCTGGAAATTCATTTTGGCTGGTGTAAATGGCCCCCAGGTTTGGCAACAGGAAGAGAGGCGCTTATCTCCAATTGCACGGCGCAAACAGAGCCTCGACCCGCAGCGAGCAACGGCCGTCCCCACCGGCTGCGAGCCCAGCACCCCCTGGGCAAGCAGCTTCTCCGGCCACTGGCCAAGCACCCATCCTGAATCTCCCCATGCTCCACCCCGGCTATGGGGGATGCACAGAGCACCGGCACCACCGGGGCTCGAGGGCCACCCGGGAGGTGACACAGCCGGGAGGTGACACCAGCAAAGGACCAGCCAAGGCGGTGCTGGAGGTCTGGGCAAAATGTGGTGGTTCCACCTGCTTTCTCAGAGCTCAGCAGCAGCTTTTAAAATTCCTCCCCCAGTTTTCACAGCCATGAGTCACCTCCGGGGAGAGCTGCGCGAGAGCTCGGGGAGGCTTTCGTCAAGCCTGCGTGCTCGCCCCGGCTTGCGGGGTCTGGGCTCGGGACCCCCCTGCTCCCCTCTCCCCATCCTGGGTGGGTGGCAGTGTCACCAACAGCCACTGTGCCATCCCCGTGAGGGGTTGTCCACATGGCAAAGCTGAAAAACCGAGTGAAGGAAACCACAGCCTTGGAGAGCAGTGACGCAGAGCTGGGGCCATGCTTGAGCCGACTGCAGCCTGGCTTTCTGCTCCCAGCCCGGGGAGACCCCCGGCTGCTCCAGCCCTCTGCCCCTTTCCTTTTGCAACGTGAAATGGCGATTCTGCTAAATCCCAGGGGGCACTGGAAATGTGGGAATAGGCCCCAAAAGCATCCCCTTCCCCTTGAAGCAAGGGGGTCTTGTGGAGTTGCTGGAGTCCCACAGGACACTGGGGAGGGGGAAGAAACCAGGTGCCTTTATGGTGGTCCCAGCCTCTAAGACAGCAGAAGTGGGAGCTCGGGCAGGGGGCAGGTGGGGTTGTTTAAGGCATGGGGAAGCCCCCAGTTACCTGCCCCAGTCCCGGGGGGAGCAGAGGCCATTGCACAACAGAGGCACAGAACAAGCAGGGGGGCTGGGATGGGAACCACGCACGCCCCAGCCCCGGCTGAGCAGGGTCCCCCCACGGCATCACTGACTGCCGGCGACCTGCCTCCCCTCCAAAACGCCCCACGCTGCTCCCGGCTGTCAGAAAAGGGCCCCCAGCCACAGTCCCCCCACAGGCAGCAAGAAAAAGCCCCCCTAGCTCACCAACAGTGAGAAAAAGCCCTTATTTTCCTTGTTTTTCTATTTTTTAAGGTGATGCACAAGGTATTCCCGGAGCAGCAAAGCTTACCTTTCCCACCTACCGAGAGGGACCCTCGGTTTTGGGGTGCACGGGGCGGTGAGGCTCCCCGGGCCGGGAGGGATGCTGGTCCGGCACCGAGGGCGTCTGACCTGCCCTGCGCCCGAGCTCACATTTTCTCTCTTACTCAAGGCGGCTTTCCGTTTTCGGGTTACACTCAACTGCCGGTGCTCACACGCTTCCTGTTTGCCACGTTGCAAGCGGGGTGCGAGAAGGGCCCATCCGGAGGGTCACCGTCCCCCCAAACTCCCCCAGACCCCAAAGCAGCGGCACCGCCGGTGTCATCGGGAACCGCAGCAGAAGTCCCCATCCTTTCCGTGTTTGCAGCAGTCCGGCCAAGGCTGGAAGGGGTTTGGGGCACGGGAAAAGCATCAGAGAAACAGCAAATGTTATTTTAAGAGCCCAAATAACCCAAACTACAAGACTGTATAGCCCACAGGTTATAACAACCTACCAAAGACAGAACAAACCCGCAAACCCTCCCTGCGGAGGCTCTTTGGGCCCAGGATTTGGAGATCTCCCCCGCTGTGCTGCTCACACTGATGTTTTTTCAAGGCTCCTGCCTGAATTACTAACTTAGCTTTAAAGCCAGCACCAAACCCGCTGACTGCCCGCGGTCTGCATCCACCCTGGTTTGCAAGGGGATGGCGGAATTAAACAGGTCGTGTGCCTTTTTGCTCCGCTTTAACTGCGGAATGGGAAGAAATCCCAAGCAATGGGAAACACTATTATCTTTAGGTTATAACTAGAATTAACATGCACCGGCTCACAGCACAGCTCTGAGCCCAGGCTCCCAGGGCAGGAGCCACGGGGCAGAGGCTGGGGCACTGCCTGGCTCTCCCCATCCAGGCTGGTTAAATCACTTGCTGGGAACCGGCTGCGCAGGTGCCCTGCCCCATCACACCCACCCAGTCGCAGCCCAGCCCTGCTCCTTTCCCGTTTAACCTAACGAAGCTGCAGCCAGCTCAGGTGCAACCGCTCCGCCTGGGCAGTTGTGGGCCGATTGAGGGCTCAGCTGTTCCTTCTCCACGCTCTGAGCAAAGCTGGTGCCTGTTACCCCAGATTGAAGCAACCCCAGGGCCAGGCTGGGGTGCTCAGCTTGCAAAAACCACCTCTGAGCTCAGTTTGCCACTGCGTCTCGCAACCTCAGGGCTGTTTACCGCTGCATGGAGAAGGCTGAATTTTGGCTTTGCTTTCCTTGAGGATGCTTTTGGGGGAAAACCCCCAAATATCCCTGGGAGAGCTCATTGATTCATGCCCTCTGCCCAGCAAGACTCCAGCTGCGGAGCCCTGCTGGCAGCCTGCGCCGGGGTTAGCACCAGCCACGGGAGGGCACGACCCAGCCCTGCAGCACCAACGGCCCTTTCCAGCCCCGAGGAGATGCCGGGTCTCAGTGAAAGGGGATTGAATAGAGTGGGGAAAGGAGGGGAAGCGCCTGACCCTCCTCCCAGCCCCGCTTGGCCGTCGCGGGGGTTTGAACCCTGGCGTCCTTGCTCCATGCTGAGGCCAGGCTGGGATAGGAGAGCAGCGAAACACAACCTGGGCTGAAAGTGCAAGGTTTCCATCCATTCCTCAGCTGCTGGAAGCCCATCACCATTTTGTGTCTCCAAAGCTGGGGGCACAGGGTCCTCCCCTGCCTGGACGAGGTGGTGCGGGGCTGGGGTCTCCCAGGGGGGTGCAAAACTCAGGCCCAAGGGCCAAGCTCCCTCTCGCACAGACCCTGGCTGCCCTCAGAGCCTCACAAACAGGGATGAGGGAGTATTTGCTGATTTATTTCTTGCTCCCTCCATCACCACCGCTCCCGACAAACGGGAGGTGACAGCGGAGGGGAGCAGCTGGCAGCGGCCAAGGGGTCTGGAAGGACTGACGTCAGGGGAAAGATTAAAAGGGCTAAATCTGTAGGGCTTGACTCAGCAGCAGCTCAAAGGCTGCGTGATTGTGCTCTGCAAGCATTTCAAGGGGCATCGGCATGCGGGGGTGTCACCCAGGGCCATGGGGACAGGCGGGTGCTTTAGGGATCCTTGGTTGACCGATGACACAACAAGGTTCTTACCATCAAAACTTTATTTTCACCTGGATCCGCTGCAAATTGGGTCGTTTATCACATCAACCACAACTTGAGCTCACAGTCCACGTACAAGTCTTGCTCAGTCCTCAGAGGAAGCAGCTGATGGGGGAGGCATCCCTGACTCCCAGGGGATCTCAGCCCTGGCATCCAGCAGCTCCAGTCTCAGTCCCACCTGGGACTTGCTGCTGGATGTTTTCATCAGCGGTGCCATCCCACGCTCTCACATCTCCCTGTCCCACCCCACAGGTCACCCTCTTCGGCCTGGGACCCCTTTAAAGGAAGAATGGGGACATGGCCAGCTTGCCCAGGGCTAATGGCCACCCACCCCACCAGGTAGTGCCCTGGGGGTTAGGAGTAGGGGATTGGGGTCACAATGCAGCAGCAGAGGAGCCTACATTCACGCAGTGAGACCCTGCACAGGTGGCAGTGGCTTCTGCTGGGGCTGCGGTAGCAGCACCAATCCTGCACCCCAGACCACAGCACAGACAGCTGTCCCAAGGCAGCGGAGTTAAGCACAGGGGTCATGGTGAGGTTTTGCTCCTCTCAGCCCTCGCACAGCTCCCTGGCCCCCCGCTTTGATGTTTCACGCTGCAGAGGAGTCACCCAGGGCTGCAACGGCCCCTGCCCACAGCCGGCTGGGTGGAAAGCGCAGCTGGGTTTGTGCACAGCCGCCCCTGCTCCCAGCCAGCCCAAAGGCAGCTCCCAGCTCAGGGCTGCACCCCCAGAGCAACCCCCGAGCCCCCAGAGCCAGGCAGGGACCCAGACCAGAGCACCCTCCTCCCCACAGCCAGACCCTGCTCCCACCACTGGTATTTCCATTAACCCAGAGACACCAATTCCCTTACACAAGGCAAGTGTTTATTCAGAGTTAACATTTATAGATAAACAGGTATTTCCCTTTCCCCTTCCCCCCCCATAGACTTAATAGCATTTATTTTATAAATAAACATTTAGTGCTGTGAACGTGCCAGCTTCACCGACAGCAAAGTGCATCATGGTGCAAGGCAGGAGGTCGACTCCATCCCTTTTCTGCCTGGGACCATCTTGCACCAGTTTCCAGAGTCCAAATCCAGCAGAGCAGGAGATGAACCCCGTGAAAGTGCTGAGACCTGACAGTGTTGAGTCCTTCAAGAGCAGGGACTCATCCTTCAGCGCTGGGACCGAGCAGCCTTTGCTCCGAGACATCCCTTGGTCCCAGAGGCGACCGAAGCCCCTCGCTCTGCAGAGCCAAGCGAGGGTCCTCTCTCCCCCCCAGCCCCAAAGGAGAAAAACTCCAGGAAAAAAAGCTACAATTTCATCTTTTGGTGTCATCCTTGCTGGCGAGCAGGACTCCTTCCTTCCTAGAGCAGCCCAACATGGCCAAAGCAGGCAGCTCCCCAGCCTGGTGTCAGTGTTGAAGGAGGCAGGAACGGGAGGGCAAACACCACCACTCCACAAGCCAACAACAAGGTAAGAAAGTGGGGTTTTGGGTCAGCAGAGTCCAGGGGACCCCAAAGCTTCCCAGGCAGCGTTGGTCCCACAATGAGCTCAGTGCTGGGGACCTCCAGTGGGTTTGTCACCATCTGCAGCCCATCTCGGGTGACAGCACCGGTGAGTCACCCGAAGGAAGGGCTGTCCGGGGAACAGCGTTTCCTCTCCCGAGCAGCCCCCGTATCACTCCGCTTCCATGCGTGGACGAGGGCTTGCCACTGCTGGGTCCATCCTGCTGGGAAAAGGGCCACCACCACGTGCCAGCAACTGGGGTGTCCTCGGGGTCAGGCTGTCCCAGGGCTCTACAATCCATATCTGTGACCCTTTCTTAAGGATATCTGGTGCCACCAGGTGGCTGGGACACAAGTGTCCTCCACGGCCAGCCATCGGGCAGGGGAAGGACCACAGCTGGACAGCAGGATGGCGCAAGGACAATGCTTGGCCCCACCAACACGGGGCAGAAGGCACGCTCTTTCTTCTCTGCAGGCAGGGCAATGCCTTAGGCCCACCAGGCCCGTTTCAGTCCTCCTCCATCCCCTCCGTGGGGCTACAAGCCTCAACATGGGCTACTCCTATACATTGCACACAGTGAAGGTCTCTCAGGACCCCAGAGCTACTCATAAATAGGGAACTACAGACTCTACATTGCTTCATACAGACAGCTTACACAGTACAGGGTGGGGGGAAAAAAGCCATGGACACCCCCAGGGCACATCAGCATTGGCAGCTGTCCCCGATGGCAGAGGAGCCAAGCACCATCAGGTCATGGCTTGGGCTTGTCAGGCTTGGGCTTGTCGGGGATGACCCTCCGCTTGGAGCTATAGAAGTCTGGAAGGCAGAAAGAGAGAGTTGGAAAGTGCCTCCAGCCCATCAGGAGCAGTGGGGCAGGAAGAGGGAGGTGTCCCCAGGGAAGCATCCCAAAACCCAGCCCAGACGGACTCCATTTTTGAGCCACCCACCCAAAGCCATGCATTCCTTGAGAGAAGAGCCTGTAGATCTCCACCATCTCTTCTGTTTGGTCTCACCTGCACTTCCACCCCAGCCCTTGATCTTAGGGGACAGGCTCAGGCCATGGGAACTGAGGGTGATGAACTATTTTGGGGCATCTTCAGCTACAAGACCCACAAACCCGATGTGAGGCCCCTGCCTAACCCCCAGCAATCAAAAGGCACCCAGTCTGAAGCCTTTTCCCCTTGGAAGGCGGGCTCTGCTCTCCGAGGAGAGAAATGCATGGAGGGTGGTCCATGGAGCCAGGCAGGGCTCTTTCACCCAAGTCAGCTCCATCTGTCCCTACCAGGAAAGCCATGACACTAGCAATGCCACCAAGCGTGCATGGAGTGACACCAAGCCTCCAACACTCACCTTTGATGGTGGTCTGCCCACGTTTCAAGCTGTGTGGGGAACCAGCCCTGCAAACCTCCGAGCTCTGCTGAGACCCCTCAGGGCAAATCCTGCCAGGATGGTCCTTGGAGGGGACCTTGTGGACCAAGGAGCTCCTGCTCTCACTGCCAGTGACCTTGATCAGGCTGTGGACCTCCTGGGGTGGCTGCTCATCCAGGAAGACCCTCTCCCACTTGAAGTGTCCTTCCAAGGGAGTCTCCGTCTCAAAGTTGAAGTTCCAGCGCTGCTGAGCTTCTTCTATGTGTTGCCTCAACAGGTCCTGAAAGTCATTCTGGAGCTGGTCGTGGTCCACGGGGCCAAAGAGGTTCCTGCACACCTTGCTGCTGCATGGCACCTGCCCGGCCCTGCTCTGAGACAGGGGCATCGTGGTGGCTGGGAGGAAAGCAGAGCGAGTTACTGGGGCGTTGGGCAAGCCACGAGCAAGCCCAAGCACATTTGGTACATTTGCTACCAGGGCAAAGCAGGCAGTAGCCAAGGTGGGGCAAGCTGGGTTGGGCTCTACACTGACGCAGCCCGGAGGGGACCTCCGTCTGCCAGCGCTCCCCTTGGACTCGGACATTTGGGATTTTAGTGGTGCCTTGGGCAGAGGCTTGAGCATGACTGAGGTCAAACACAGGCTGGTGTGATGCAGAAGGACGGGGAAGGTGCAAATGTTGACGTTCCCCATTCCTCCTCCAGCAGGTAAAGCCCTACTAGGGCAGAGCATCCAGCACCGCGATGCTGCCACCGGCTCCATCCACAACCCCGCTGCGTTCCCACTTCCACGCAGGCACAAGCCATGGGCAAGTGAAGCAACAGGATATTTTTCTGGCCAGTTTCTTCATCTCAAGAACCCAGGCCCGGTGGCAAGGAAGCCTTAAGCAACTGCAAGAACATGCCACAAGCTTGACCACTTTGGTAACCACCCCTTATCTGCAAGAAGCTGTTGGGTAACCAGAGACAAGACCCTGTTTGTTTGTTTTGTTTCAAATCGGTGCCAAAAGCTTTGACCTTCACAGTAAGTGGCAAAGCCTTTCCTTCCAAGCAGCCCCCCCCTTACACATGCATGGGGCTAATGGACCCCTCGTGCTGCCCGCGGTTTGAGGAACCTCGTTATCAGAGCAAAGCAAACAACGCTCTGGGATTTGACGGCTTTTGGAAGTAAGGCTTGAGCCCGCTTGCATAGCCGTGCTCATTAAATCTGTTTTGGTTTTTTTTTTTAAATAAAGATTCACAGAAATAAAATCCCTGTGTGCAAGACAGCTTTGTCATTGCCCACCCAATCTGGGACCCCCAAAGCCGGGACCACAACAGACCCCCAGGCGTGTACCCCCCACCCTTAAACGTCCCCAGGGATGGGGTGCTCACCCTCCTGAAAGGAAGGTTCCTGCCCAGATTCAGCACCCGCAGCCCCTCCGGATCGCCTGTGCCGCATTAGCGGGCACACGCCACCGGCGCGGCGTGCCGGCGGGCAGCTGGAGGGCCTCCAGCCCGGGGGTGGTGGGGCCACGCTCCGTCCTCGGGGCCACCCCGACCCTGTGCCTGCCCTGCTCCCGACCCAGACGGAGCATCCCCGAGTAAAAATAGAAATCCAGCTTCCTATCTCCTGGCAGTCGGAGCACATAAACAGGGTGACCTCATTGCGAGGCAAGTCCCAGCATGTCCAGGCAAGCCCTGGCAGGTAGCAGGCAGGGGACATGTTTCGACACCCTGACCAGCCACCCTCCAGCCTCCCCGCCTGTGTCAGGCACTCATCTCCCCATCCTCAGGCCACCACCACGGCCCAGGTGCCACCCCGGTCCCCACACCCCGAGATAACAGCTTCGCCCTGACTCACGATTGCAGATTGCTGGAGCCACCAAATAGGGAAGGACAAGGGCCAGGTCACTGTCCCCTCCCACGGGGCTGGTGTCGCTTTTAGCAGCCTCTCCCAAGCAAGAGCGTCAAGGTTTCCTGCAACCCGGCTGGAGAACCCCAAGACGCCTCGCAAAGAGGCGATGCAGGTGCACGGTTGCATTAAAACCTCACCCAGCCGGGCTGGGAGATGAAGGCGCTCCCAGGGACACACACAC